TTTTTTTTTTTTGACTTAACAGAGGTTTGTGCTGCTGGTTTCATGCATTTCTGCTGCTCGGTGGGGTAGTAAGAGTAACAACAGCAACAGCAGCAGCAACGGCGGCAGCAACAACACTGGTGCTCATTGGTTTCATGCTGTATGCAAATGCTGCAGGCGCCATCATCGGGCACGGACTCTGCACTGCTTTGGCTGTCCTCGGGGGGATGGTCTTAGCCAAGCGCATCTCTGAGCGCGTTGTGCTGGTGCTAGGAGGTAAGCGGGCCCTCCTCAAACTGCATGCAGGGGGGGCAAGGGGGGACGGGGAGGGGGCCTATGGGGTTCAAGGGGCAACGACCACAACCCTGAGGCGTTTATTTGTAGGGGCTCGTGCTCTGGAGAATAGTGCTGTTTTGGGTGTATTTGTTGGGTTATTTACGGTGTAGTTGTAGTGCAGTTTGCGGTGTATTCGTAGTGCTGTTTGGGGTGCAATTGTCTACCTCTGAATCCTGGGTGCTGTTATGCAGGGATATGCTTTCTGTCTTTTGCTGCCTTCACCGCCGTGGGGGAGCTTTACGGTCTTTGAGTGCCTCTTCTTTATCAACCTGAACTGCGCTGCCTTTTTTTGGTGTTTCACGTGCTGATTGCCGTCCGAGGAACACCAGCACCCTTCAGGTCCCTTTATATTCCTTGTTTTCGACAGCATTCGGCGGGAACTGTTGAATCTGTGCTTCGAGTCAAAGACATGCACATGAACCTGGACCCTTTTGCTTCGTACAGAACGGAAAACACAGCGAAAAACTCAGAGCAGGCAGCCGGCGATGCCGCTCGTTGTTGGGGTATCAGGCGGTCTTCATTGATACAGAAATCAGGACTTTACTTGCTCTGCCTTTCGGCAAAACTGAAACTGCTGCTATGGATAGTATAATCAATTTTTAGACAATATAAATAATGCACTGTGCACAAATGGTAAATATATTGCTTAAGGGATTCGATCTCTTGATTTTCTGAACGGTTTCTGGCTATTTTGCTCGTTTGACGCCTGTTTGCACGCGCGGCGTGCTGAGGTGTATGCGCAGCTCGCTGAACCGCGAGTAACTCGGATTCATCTTTCTAAGGGCTTTTGCTTTCGTCACAGTTCATGTGGGGAGGCGTTTGTCTGCGAAGCGACAACAGCTGCATTGCTCCGTCTATACGCATCGTGCACACATCAACGCGTGCCCTGATTTTTCGGCTCCCCGCTGCTGCCAGCGCCGCCGCAAGCTGAGATGCGGGATTTACGGACTTGGCTTTTTCTGTTTTTCATCACGGTTACAATTGCCGGTGCAGATGGACACA